ATTACTTCCTTCTTTCCCAATGGGATAACACTGTGGAATAAACTACCTGATAATATAGTCACGTGTAATAACCGCCAAATTTTCCGCAGTAAGCTAAAATGTCACATGTCGCAATCTAACTGAATGTGCTGTTTTCCCTGCCAATATTTAAATACTTTTTTTTTTAACTAATGTATAAACTGTCGTCACTTTTCTCTGGAAGCTTACCTTTGTACCATTACTTTTTTATTTTGCATTTGGTAATATTGGCGTTTTACTTTGCATATTGTACCTTTTTTTTTCATTGTTCTTTGAATGTTTACGTTTTGGAACCCTTCGAGTTTTGTTGAGTTGTTCGACATACCTTGTACGCCGCCCCCCCTTATGTAATGCCTCCGGGCCTTTAAGGTGGAATAAATGAAATGAAATGAAATGAAAAATTAATCCGAAAAACGCACGCTAAAGCAGCAAATCATTAAGGTAATGTAATCAAGCAGCCACGTTGGTAAAGATTTAGCAGCAAACAATTCCACAGGGCAACCCCTTCGCAGCAGCTTTGTCACGCCTCTAATTAACTATTAGCACAATATAAAAATAAGTGGGCATGGTGTTCCCCATCAGGGGGGGGGGGGGGAGGGAAACAGTTTTTTACAGTGCCTCATTGTAAGGGGCAGACAGCGCCCCACCCTCCTTGGTTACTATAGAGCCCCTAAAACTTTCTAGGGGCTTTAGGTGACTCTGGGGAGGAGCACCCCCTCCCCTTATGTGCACTCATATGACAATAAATACTTTTGAGTAATGGCAAATATCCCTGGAGGCTATATTGACAATGTATATAAACAATAGCAGCTGTGGTGCTAGCAGAGCTAAAAGTATGGCTGAGGCAAGTTAGTCTATGCCAAACGAAAGCGTTCATACTAGTCTAAGAGGCCATGCAATGTGCATATAGCTCTTGCATATTCATGGCAGCATGAATAGATCCACAGCATTCAACTGATGACTCAATATACCGTAAAACTAAGCTTGGTGTATATTAGGAAAAGAACAATGCAATGAGATTCATTGACAGAAGCTTCAACCACTATAGCACACACAATATGAAGCATTCTTGAAAGAAGACACTTTCCAGTTAGTTGTATAGTCCCCACTTGTCAATCACGTGTTTGAGCAGATATACTCGACAACCACAGAAATACTCGAAGGATGCAGTTACTGGGTCAATATATAGTTGTGCGCACAGTAAGCTTCTCTTTTTGGTGTGGTCTAAGTATGCGGGGGCATAGAGTTTCACAACAGTACACTTAAGGAAAATCTGGTGCTAGTGTCTATGGGAAATTTGACATCTGTCACTTCAGCCAACATTGAAATGATGGGAGTAGATGGAATTGCCATAGCTTCATTCTTTTGCCTCCATGTGGCTCTGCATGGCCTGCACCCGCTTTGTCGCAAGATGAAGACTCAACGAAAGTTTAGTATTCCAAGTTCATGAACATGACCGAAATTCAAATCAGCTCAAGAGGTCCACAACAAGCCTCTGTTTTATCCAAAACAAAAGCCAAAACAAGAAAAAACAAAGCCACAAGTACACGGAAAGCTGCACGCATAAAGACTGCAAATCCATCTACTAGCGATCATTCCCACCAGGTGCATAGCTGGCAATTCTCTTTAGGTCAACTACACTATTTTCGTATATAAAATACACATGCAAAACAGAAAAATTTCAAGGGAGGGATATCGAACCCCCTCCAACACTACCCTTGCTGTGCTAGCGATTCTCATGATGGCCGAGCAATCATGCCACGGTACCCCCTAGTAAAAAATATTGTAGGTAAATAGGCATAGTGGTACTGTGGAAGCAAAAAGAATGAACAAATTATAAATATTCCACTCTAACGTAACCAGATCACCATAAATTAATTTGCAGGTATCCTAACAAGTGGAAGGAAGTGTCCTTAGGAAGGCGCTACGAAGGACAGGACAGGGCGGCCAACAAGGCATCTGCCAACGCTGCAGAGATTAACATGCTTGAGGACACTGTGGACCCAGACCTCCTGGCCATATTAGACAAAGGAATCAGAATTGAAGATGCAGCAAGCCCCGAGTCTCCAATGAACAGTTCATCGGCGAAGCAGAGAGACTTTAAAGACGCCAACAAGGACACACAAGCCCAGAAGGACAAGCAAAACAACATGGTAGTTGATGTCAAAGAAGGTGACATGGCTATCGGCCCTAAAAGGCGGCCCGTGACACGGTCCCCCAATTGGTTGCTCCGATAAAAATTGCAAAGTGTCCCGATGCCTAGGTTTTGCACATGCCTCGGCAATGTATATCCAAGTGATAAGTACAACACACGCGAATGTGGTTTGCTTTCCTTTACATCCATAGCTTCTATTGAATGGGCGAAATTTGGCCCAAATTCATTTTACCAGCAACAACATAGCTTCCAATGTATACAGACATCTGGAACGCAAGACAATGGCACTTTACTTTTGATCACTGAAGAACGATGTCAAATTGATGCTGCCATGACATCATGTGAATTTATGGGGCATTTCAGGTAACTTGAACCAAGAATTTTTAAGTGGTTAACAAGTGCTGGGGGAAAATAATATATGGCTCAATTTCATGTGGTGCTCCTTGGAAAATCTCATGTTCAGCAGAATTAGCTAACGGCAATGAAGTATGTAAAAAACTTTTATTATATTTCAGGGCCAAGTGCATTTCATTACTTTGTAGAGAGGATTCAGAAATGATAAAGCTATTTGTGACAGTATAATACAGTACTCTGCCAATACTTGAAGTGTGTTTGAAGAAACTCCACAGAATATGAAATGAAACTACGGGCTATGCTGAGTGAAACCTCGGTGAAACGAATTTTTCTGTAGTGCCGGCCAAGGGCTATTAACTGGCAGTGTAACAGAGTACATGGTTGACACTTGTGACGTGCTAGACTTGAACACTAAAAAACACACTGAGGCACAGCTAGGACACACACGAGGACAGTTGTTGTGAGACACTTGTGACAGTACAGTTGTTTCGAACCATTTTCACTCTGCGATATTTGATACGAACGTACATGACTACGCAGGTTCGAACAGGTACTGCCCACAGTCTTGGAGGCCCTAATGTGCCTAGCTTACAGAGCGTTTGCATTGCAGTTTTTTTTTTCCAGCACATGTGCTGCTGTTTTCGAGGCAGCGATGTGCTGTATTTACACATGCCTGCCATGCCAATACAAGCCGTCTCCTCGCAGTCAGGCATCCTATGAAAGGTAGATGAGGACCAAAAGAGGGAGGTTTTGGCAAACATGCTGAGCCTCGCAACATCACATGATCGTTGGAAATACGCACATCGGCCAACTCTCCGATTTGCACGCAAGGAATGTAATGTTGAGCAAATGTCCCGAATAGAACTCAAGCGAGCCAATCTCCCACGATAAGAAAATTACAAAAACCAGCGGTTTAATTTTCTAGCCTCCATCTAACGTGTTCAAAGCGCACATTAGGCCAATTTCGCTGCAGTACTCTGGCGCCACATGAAGAAGAACGGACACACACACCGTACACTTACAAGTAAAATCGCCGACATCTAAAAATATTGCTAACAATCATTCAGCTGTTTATGTTGCTGCAGCACCGAGAAACAAAAACATATGCCAGATTTCTTTGCTGCATACTGATTTTTATAAGCCAGGGTGGTGGATGTGTCAAATACTGGTGAGTACATATTTCAGTATCAAGATGCATTTGAAAAATTTTTTGTATATCAGCAGGGAAATACTTTCACGAGTAGATTATAACATATCTTGTTGGACGTAGGTATCTCATTACTTTTCGGTCTGAAATAATAACACATGTTTGCACAGACAAGTCAGTTTCTGTGCTAAGCAAGGGAAATGCACGCCACCGGTAAGAAACGAAGAGGGTGGGAAAGGCTTCCACACAGGCACAGATGTGGTAAAGTGCCTGGTACCGCCAACAACATCGCTACCTCTAGAGAATGGAGCAGCACCCCTAATTTTTTTCTTTTTCGGCAGCCAGCCATTTTAAGAGTTCCAGAGTCTTGTGTTGGTCGAACAGACTGTCTAGCAGATGAACAAGAGACTGTTGCCTATGAGCAGTTAACAGAGCAATATGCTCAGCAAAGCAGATCATTAAATGTATGCCTTCTCTCAATACACACGTTTGTTAGCGATTCAGGTAATACAAATTAATTGAAAGTTTCAATACACTGCAACTACTACTAAGTTGTTTTATGCTATCTATGATCGCATCTGCCGCGGTTTTGTCCACAGAGTTTGCGGAAAGCAGTGTTGCTTTGACCGGTCGAGCCTTGGACACGAGCACTCTCAGAATTCTGTCAACGTCGTCGCTATACACGATAGTGTCAACGTCCGCGCTTTTGTCCACAGCGGCTACAGAAACGACAACCACACGCACTGTTGAAGACCGTACATGCACTGGTTGCATGCGTACTTGCTCTCTGCTTTCGTTCGATGATTTCCTAACTGAACTTCGGAAAAGTGATCAGAACATTCGAGTTTTGACCCAATGGACACTGTAGAATTCGGCTGGGGAACTTCAGGAATCTGCCGCGGTTTGACATCACTGAGATGCTACTGTACGTTTAGATAAGGCCTCCTAAATTATTTTACAAAATGCAGTAAATTTGCAAAAAGCCTGCAGGAGCAAATTCACCTGCATTTTTATCAATGCCGGCAGGTCACAAACAGAAATTTTGATTTCTGGGAAATTTTCATGACAACTGTAAGAAACTGTCCAAATCCGGGACACTTTGCACGTATGCTTCGTTAAACTTAAATGAATTAACAGGAGTCGATTCTGTCAGTAACAGAATTCTGGGCCAACAGAATTGGGCGAAACATTGGGCCAAAAGCAAGATCTTTGTAGGCACTGACCATGACCCTGTCTCATACAGCATGGTCTAAAGTTTCTTCGTCGATGTATCCTCTGAAATAGAGGATGCGTGTCATGCAGGAAAAGAAGTGGAATCAACAGCAATTTATAAAACTGGACTTCATTTATTTGTTTTGGCTCAGAAAAAAAATAGTTTTAATTTATGAACAGTTCATCCAACCAGTTCACATTTCACTAGGATATTGTCTCTCCAGAGGTTATGCACATTAGAGAAAGAAAAAAAGATGCATAAACAGCACAAAACAAAGTAATGCCACAAAACAGTCTAAGTAAACAATACTTCGTTGAGAAGAACAGGCACGTCTGGAGAGAAGTGGCAACAGTATCAACACGCCCTCTTCCTTTAAAAAAAATTTGTTGCAACACTTAAGGAGTACGCCAATGTTGAGCGATACAGCACCTTGTTTGCCTATAAGCCTGCTTTCCGAAAAATACTCCTCTGAAGGCACAATTCTTAGAGGGCACCGATTACTGTCGTAAAAAAAAATGTGCTACCTCCACGGACGCGAGTATAGTAATTCTAATAATAAAGATCTTCGAAAAGCACAGTATGAAGGTCTGTGTACAAAGCTTGTAGCAAAAGACATGGACACAAACATGTTAACAGTCCTACACTGGGAGGGGAAAAGGCAGAGGGAGCCACCGTTCGGCTAGTGACCGTACAAAGTAATGCGAACCGGAGGGGAAAAAAAAGATTATGGTGCGCATTACTAACAAGATCTTTGTAGGCACTGACCATGACCCTGCCTTATGTAAAAAAAACTCAACGAGGGCTCTTGGAGCCCTCAGGTATAACAGTCTCAACACGCGCCGCGTCTCCCGATTCTACCGCAACTAGCAACAACGGCACTGCGAAGCGTGTATCTGCATTTTCTTTCTCGCTCGTCATCAACAGTGCCCCTCTCCCCCTCGGCACCTCTCCAACACCCACAGGCCAACCCCCTCCCCATGCAAGATGGCTACACTCCTCAAGCCTGGAATGCTCGCTTCAGTCTATGCTAAGCACGCCCAGGAAGAGAAAAAAAGCGAATCGACAAAGCATCGATGACACACTACAAACAGAGATAAAGGAAGAATGTGTCCGTAACGACGATGAGAAAAAAGATTCCTTGCAGTTTCTTCGGCGTGCAGAGCACACGAAGGGAGTAAAAAAAATAAGGGGGGGGGGGAGGAGGATGACACGGAAAGAAGTCTGGGGTAAAGGAACGCACGTGCCGAGGAGGGAGGTTGTAATGTATGGAAGACTGTAGGGGCAGAGGGGGCATGAGGGTGGGAGCAAAGGGGAGGGTTGGGTGGAAAGAAAAGTGCGTCTACATGTTCTCGAACTGATCTACGCGGCGCTTCGTGTTGCCCTTGCGGATCTCGCGGAGCGTCTTGTACTTGTCGCGACCCTGTCGAACGTTCTCCTGATGCAGGATGTCGTTGCGAGTCAGCTTGGCGTCATCCTTCATGGCTGAAAGCTCCTTGCTCAGCATCTGGAGAAAAATAGAAGGTATGAAATAAGGGTTTTGCAGCAGAAAAGCCCAACATTAAATTATTAACCCAACCATTAACACTGCCATGCTGAATTGCATTCTACAGCAGATGTGCAACTAAGTGGGTCATTTTACTCCATTAACACTGCATTGCATGCCAAGTTTTACACCGTCTATACTCTGTTGTCTACTTAGGCAAACATGAGAGAGACCAGAGACTCAAGCAGTGAAATTGAAAAGCTTTCTCTATTTTTATGTTATTTTTTTTTTGGTAATGCAAATGAGTTTACAATTCTGCGATGCTTTGTACGGTATATTAATAACTTACGACAAGGTTTCTCAACAAGGTTATGGAAAATCTGTTGTGTAATGGTAGTTGATCAGTTACCAGGGCATTTATCGTTTGTTATTGCAATAAATGCATATCTCATTTACTCAAGAAAAATTTCACCACACCTACAGAACGCAGTACAGCACACCACACTTACCTCAAGCTGGTCTCCAAGCGCCTTCTTTTTAGAAACTTCTGTGGATCGCTCTTCTTCTGGCCGAGGGACGTTCTCGTTTTCGTGGTTTGTGAACTCTGCACCTGCACAAGCGACGAGTGCCGGCGAGTCAGTATGCTACGCACGTGTGCTCTTGACAACCGCCGTAACACTGCAGCACCAGCGCTCACAACTGACGTAACCCTCAGGCACAACCATGCAAAGCCTACAGACAATGTAAAACGTACTAGAACTTCGCTATCGTTCTTTTCAAATTCAAAAATAAGGGAAAGAAAAATCGAATGAACAGGAAAATCTCAACTTTCTAACGGTGGAAGCTGAATCCACATTTTAGAAGTTACAAAACTACTTGCTTATCATTAAATAAAATATGAAGGCATCGCATGCATGGGCGGGATGGCTATGTCCACGTCGATACAATCTCGACACGCATGTCGTCCGATAACAGGACATTTTGCTACAAGAATTCTTGCCATCAGATGGCACGAAGATGCTCAATTTTTCACATGAATAGGAATGCAGCGCTTTCAAATGCAAAGACCACAGTCTGATTACAAGTCATGCCGTAGTGGGGGATTCCAGGTTATAACTTCAATTTTTTTTCACTTGCTCTGAACCACAGGGCTGTTCCTGCACTGGTGTGCATATAAAAATGAGATTGCTTTAGCTGAGAATCAACCAGCTTGTGTTTAACACGACGACACAGCCACCAAGCTACTAGATAAAAGAAAAATGAAGCATACAACAAAAAAAAGTTCCGCTGGTAGGAGCCTACTATGCATTCTTAAAGGGACATTAATGTCAATAACAACTTACTTCAGAGTGAAAGCTCAATATATGACAACATCAAAAACTACAATATTATCAACAACAGGGCCCTACTTACCGAGAAATTAAGGTAAGTGCACAAGAACACATGCACCGCAAAAGGACATTCTCAAAATGATCCCGATGACATCAGATGGATCGCCCACATTTACTCACTAGAAATTGATCTAGCTGCACTAAATAAAGAACCTTACGTGCATCAAGAGATGCAATAAAATGCTGCTGGTTTGTTTCTGTGTGATTCATGAAAAAAAGAACCGCCGGATGTTATTATGAGAAATGGCGCGAGTGGTTAGAAAATTCATTTTTCGCATCGTTACACTGAACAGGTGGTGCCACCTAGCAGAGCACAGTTGAACCAAAAGACGTCTGGAATCTTGGAGCCAATGGCAGGAAATTGATCAACGACCGTTGTAGCTCCTAAAGCACAGCTACCACCATGCTTTGTTCAGCAAGCATGCAAGGTTCCTTACACCGGTTACTAGTACCATACCCAATTAGTTCCACCAAAACAAATGAAAAGTAAAATAAAACCAAAGATGAAGTGACAAGAACCATAGTGTTAAGTTCCCCAGCCATACGACAACATATCACACAGTAGGTCATCGCCAAATTCAAGGAACTGGTGGAAAATAACGTTTTGTTCAACAAAAGCATAGTTAATACCTGTGTCACACGGGCGCGCAAAAAGTCTTTTAAGTAAGCGGTCTTTTACGAAGTTGAGACTTTTAACAAAGAGGTGTTTGCGGTGCAGACACACGGCAGCAACGATCTCCTTTTAGTGTTTTCGTTCGAAGACGCTAGCGAAAGCGTGGCGCTAGCAGGTAAAAGAGAAGCAATGAAAATTAAATGATGTATCACGATGTACAAATTAAAGACTTGTTGCACTGCTCGTTTCTTCAAATAAATTTAAGAATAAGAGATGAAGAAACACCAATGTGAAAGTTTGTTGCACTAGTTAAGGAAGCATTCCCATAACTAGCGACGTGCACAAGTCCGTCTGGCACCACTGGGCTTTTATTTACCGTATTTGTTTTTCGCTGCTCTCGACTGCTCTCGACACGTTATGGGCGACCGTACGGGAGAAAAAGCGAGGATCGCAAGCCTCACGGCCTGCCTTCTCGCTCCGGAAAGCGAGGCAGACGCTGCAAAAGCCGCCAAGGAGAGGATAACGTGTCTGCTTCCGACCATTGCAGACGCTGCCTTTTCCGTGGGGCGCCGGCTGCTTGATCTGCGGAGTTGGCCATAGACGCTCGGACTCGGACCACATGAATGACGGGCAAACACACGACTGCCACGCTTTCCTCGCTTGTGCAAAATGGCGCGGTGCGAGACCGAGCGTCACCACGTGATATTGCCGACGCGTTGTAGCTGCTTACGAGAGTAGAAAAGGAAATAACCATTAAAAGAGTTCATTACACCTTCTGCAGGATATGAAATTTGTTTTACAAAGAGTTTTGGTGACAGAAAAATAAGCGTTCGCTCTTTTTTTCCCACCACTCGAAAATTGCTGGCGCCCACTGGTTTCGAGGCTACTCATTCGGAGCCGTAAAAGAGATCGACGAACTCCGCTTACGAAAAAGACCGCTTCTGAAAAGGAGTTCGCTCTGTGCCGTGTGTCTGCGGTCAGGAACTCCTTTTCGGAAAAAGACCGCTTACTTAAAAGACATTTAAGTGCCCGTGTGACAGGGGTATAACTCACAATCATTAACGGTGCACAGACGCAACACCAACCAAATTAGGGGCCGTTCCATGCAACAATAACGTTTAAACAATTTGATGTGCTTGCAAACATTCGCCCCTGACCATGACAGAAAAGCAGACTGGAGATAATCGCATTCAAATGCCTGAAAAGGATGATCGATCAAGTGTGTCCCTGTAGCAGGATCAGACACTGATGCCTTTGCGACGCTGTCATAGTGAAGCTGACTGTGGCATGTTAATCAATTTAACGATTCTCCACTATCAGAACTTCGGATAACTTATATTCAGCGATTCAAAAGCAGCCTGGATGCTACAATCAGTTGAGATTAACGTACAGCCAGCGGCAAAAGCTGACTGGAAATGGACTGTACTGCAAATGCGATTTTCTACTTTCTTTATGCTAGCACATATATTCTAGCACACAACGAAAGGTTGCAAGGGCTATTACAGGGCAGAACACTTCATTGGAGCCTGTACTACCAGATCAAGCGAAAATGCAATTCCTCAACATTTGAGTCATGTGAACTTTCGATGCTAAGTGTACATACCCCAGTGTGCCTAATATACACGCTTTGCTAGCACAAATTTTCAAAACAAGCACAGGATATTTTCAAAATGCCTACAATGCTTGATTACCTTATCTTCTTCAGTTTTGCTTTATCTAGCGGTAACATCGTTTAAAGATATTTTTCTCCTCAAATGAGCCGTAAGTCACTTCCCTAGACATTTCAGCCAAAACTGTCAGTCTGTTTACAGTTTTATCGAAGTTATGCCTTTCGTATGAATCCTGTATCATTGTTCATAGGCAGCACACTGCTAAACTTATTTCAAACCCTTATTCCATGCATTATTTCCATGACTGAACACAGTTCCATGCAAAAAATATGTTATCAGTTCAGCATCATTTCTGGTCACCAACCATTTGTACGAAGGAAAATTAGCATTACATAGGCAAAATCTTTGTGCAGTGGTTAGTCACTTGGTTGCGACCGCAACTACAAAATAAAACTTCCCACAATACACTACATTAGGCAACTCATCACAGTGATCATGCCTAAACCACACTTTAGTACTACCAGACCATAAATGGCAAAGGTGAATGTGTATGCATGTACTCGACTCAACTCCTCACACATGGAGCGTTGCGAAGTAAAGCTAGTGCATCAAAACATGTCAGCAACAACGGGAATTACCTCCAGTCTGCTCTTCCCCCATGTTTCCAACGCCGGACAAGAGATTCCATGCTCCCGCCAACGGCCAAAAACCTAGCGGCGAGACTGCCGCAGCTATTCCGCGCGCCACTAACACAAAATGCAACAGCAAGGCAAACAGTGAAAAAGGGGGAGAGGAGAGGGGGGCAGCAAAAGAAATAAAAAGAGGGCAGCAGAGCTCACCAGGACACAGCCAACCAACCAGCAAGCCACCAACCATGGAGCGCAAGACAGGGGACATTTTGCCTCTACATTTGCTGATCCAGCTCCTACTCAATTGGGAGGGAGAGGGAAGCCAATTGAGGCACAGCACACGCTAAGGATCTGCACACACACCCACGTGGTCCACTCCCTGCCTGCGATGCGAACACTCGGCAATCGCCTGCTCTCGCAGGTCTAAAAGAGCAGTTCTTTGCAATGCTTCAACTTCACTGCGCTGCCAGATATGTGCTTAAAACATTAGACAAATTGTAATCTCTGCAAGGCCAGGCACACAATAGTGCAGATGCACAAATGCCCACAGAAAGCAAGAATTTACAATGCTGACATTACAAAATGTACAACTTATGTACTGAAATCGAAGTGACCGACTATTTGAAATAAAATATTCGATTAGAATTCAGTGTTTGATTAGATTTGCATCGGACTTATACAGTTTGTAAGGCACACTTCAATTCAAACACCAAACAACTCAATTGTTGAAATCTGTAGAAAGAACTGCATAGCTGTGCTAAATTTCGCGAAAAGTCATGCGCAGTTTTCTTTGCCCTGCGTTCACTTCAGCTAGATATAGTCATTTTGAAAATTTAAAATACGGTAGTTCAGGTTGTGTTGAGGGTTGGAACAAATCGTACTGAAAATCACGTTTCAAGAAATCGCGGAGACAAAAGGCGACGAAAAACTGCACTGAAATGATGGACTAGCCAGGGCAAACAAGCAGGATTTGATCTGTTCTACCACACAAGCTGAATACAAATCCCTCATGTATTCTAATCACTAGCAACCCTAAGATTTTATGTAGTCGCTAACACAGACAATCACTGCTGTGACAATGTTGTGAAGAGGCATATGACATTGCATCGCTTCATTTTTTCGATAGCTATTGGTTTATTTTTGGCCAACTACTTAGTGCACCAACATCAGTTGGGAGAACGTGCCTCAGAACAACGAACAAACTATCGAACGATTGTTCAAGAAAGTGTGGCGAGAGAGTTTTGCACGATGGATGTGTGCGTAGAACCGTGGCGACTATGAAGCCGTGCAGTGCGTCTGTGGGGGGCCTGAGTGCGCTCGCGAGCAGCTTACCGTTGGCCGTGAGTGGCAAGGCGGGCTCCTCCTCGCTGCTGCAGCTTCCCCGCTTACCCAGTTCCCCATTGGCAAGCTCCTCGTCGTTCTCGCCCTCGTCCTCAGCCTCGGCGACGTGGTGATGCTGGGGCGTGCTCGATGCCTGCACCAGTGCCTCCGCCGCTTCTTGCTGCCGCCGGCGGGCCTCCTCCACTTCTTCCTGGAGCCTACGCCGGCAAACACACAGATGTGACATGTACAACCGTCATCCATAGAGTTTGCTGCAAGATTTACTACAGGGGACTGTCACACTACGATCGGTTGGCCACCATGTGAATGAGGAGTAGCATACATGAATCTGCTTTAAGCAGATTCATGTATGAATACGGTAAGCAGCTTACCGTATTTTTTCGCGTATAACCCGCCCCTGCATATAATTCGCACCCCCACTTTCAGCTCGCAGAGGAAAAAAAAAAAAAAAAAAACTCGCGTATTGCCCGCACATTTGATATACAGTAAAAGCTCGTTAATTCGAACTTCGCGGGGATGCCCAATGAGTTCGAATTAAACCGAATTCGAACTAACGAAATTCACTGAAAAAACAGCAAGAATTGAGATCGGTTTGTTTGAAGATGAGACAAAATATTTATTTGCGAAAGTAATCTGTGATAACTTTCTGCTTCCTTTCTTTGAAAGTGATTGCCATCGCTTTGTTTTCCAATGCGCGAACGTGGCGGAAGGCATCCTCTTCATCTTCCTCGAAGCTGAAGAAGAGGCGCGCGACACGCATAGCCTCCATTACCTCCGAAGCTGTCGGACGCGTCGGCGCCTCATCCTCCTCGTCCTCACCCACGTCGACGACGAGTGCTTCCTCGCCAGTCACCTGGGCGATGATATCGTCGTCGGTGATAGTGCCACAGACCACTGCACTGCGATCTGCATCGACGTAGTCGCCGAAGTTCACGTCCCCCAGCGCATCCCGCAGTCCGGCAGGAATGACGTCGGCCTCACGCTCATCGAGCTCGCCCGCTGTGCCCTCAATGGCCACACAAAAGCCACTGTGGCGGAAGCAATTGGCAACAGTTGTTGCCGTGACCTGATCCCAGGCCCGCACCAACATATGCATGGCCGAGAGCAGCGTCACGTCGTAGCCTTTTGTACCGGCGGCGCACAACACCAAACGCTCCAACATGTGGCGCCTGTAAAAGCATTTCAAGTTCTTAATGACCCCTTGGTCCATTGGTTGCAAGGCTGCCGTTGTGTTCGGCGGCAGAAACGAGAGCTTGATCGCCTTCAAGTCCACATCAACCACGTGCGCTGAGCAGTTATCGACTACCAAGAGCACGCTTCTGTGAGCTAATTCAAACTTGCGGTCAAGCTTTATCAGCCACTGTTTGAATATTTCCCGCGTCATCCATGCCTTGCTGTTGGCTGTATACTCTGCCGGTAGTGTGCGGATGTTCTTGAAGCAACGAGGCTTCAGGGCCTTCCCTATGATCAGCAGCGGTAGTTTTTCTGTACCATCCATGTTTGCTGCGACCAAGACAGTAACGCGCTCTTTGCTTCTCTTCCCGCCAGCACAGGTGTCGCCTTTGTACGTCAACGTTTTACTTGGCAGCAGCTTATAAAATAATGCCGTTTCATCGGCATTAAATATATCGCGGGGCGAGTACTCTTGAAGCAGTTCTTGCAAAGCACCGCTTTGCCACTTTGCGCATGTCTCGCTGTTGACTTCTTTGCCTTCACCAGACACAGTGCGGAACACAATCTCGTGTCTCTCTCGGAAACGATGAAGCCAGCCCTCCGAAGCTTTAAAATCATCTATGTTGAGGCGAAGCGCGAAGTTTGCTGCTTTCGCCATAACGATAGGGCCGCTCAGTGGGATGTTTTGGCTCCTCGTTTCCTTGATCCACGTGAGCACTGCGCGCTCCAATTCGGGGTGCTTCGCTGAGCGAAGCCTCTTGCGACTGCCGGTGAACGCATCAGTTGCGTAGGCCTCCTCAATCGCTCTCTTATTCTTGATATATGTTGAAAGAGTGCTTTTTGGGATTCCATGCTTCCTTGCGATTTCAAGCTTGCTTGTTTTCCCACAGTCCACTTCACAAAGGATTTCTACCTTTTCCTTGAGCGTTTTGGCGCTCTGTCCTCTTCCGCGAGAAGTCATGTACACTAAGTGCGGTATGCTAGGTCCAGCAGTCGAAGGCAACACCGTCACAAAACCCACGGCACTGAACAACTTCGTAGCGTTGACGCACACGAGGCCTAGCGACTGAATGTGTGGCACACAAAGCACACGGGGAGGCGTCCAACACGACCACCACACGATGCGAAGAGCGCGCGCAGTCGCCCACAGAACACCCACGCGTAGCCTGTCGCAGTCGTGCAATGACGCCACGTGGCCACGTATCCAGGCACTAGATTGGATTGGATTGATTTGCGCTCAGCCCTTGCGCCATCTATCGTAGAGCCGTAAAAGCTTGCGGCGGAAGCATAAAAATACTACCACGCAGCGGCGCGCAGTTCGAATTATCAATAGAGGAGCCGATGCGCGCATGAACTAACGAGTTGGTTAACTCATAGACGCCTATACATTGTGGCCGGACCATGACCATCAGTTCGAGTTAACCCGAAAGTTCGAATTAATGAGGTGCGAATTAACGAGCTTTCACTGTACAGGAAAGGCTGTACAAAAGCTACTGCTCAAGCAACATAGCACATATGTAGACAGAAAAAGCTTTATTTAGCAAGCAGAATACGCTGTCTGCAAGGCCAGTCACAATTCACTCACTGTCGCTGCTCTCGCTAGAACTATCACTTCAGCCGCAGTCCTCACTATTATGCACAAGGTCATCTTCGGTTCCATCCATGTTTGTTATGCAGCATTTCTTGAAACTTTTTCGCACCATCTCACCTGGAGTGGCCTTCCATGCCTCGACAATCCACTTGCAGAATAGGGCAATATCAGGCCTTCGGACTCATCCTGTCGGCGTCAAGTCGTAGCAGCCTTCGGCCATCCACTCTGCGTAATAGCGCTTGACATGCGCTTTGAAGGGCTTGTTAAGCGACACATCTAGAGGCTGCAACATTGACGTCATTCCACCGGGTATAACAACTAAGTCGGTGCCGTTGCGTGAAAGGCGGTCCTTCACTTCCTCAGTTGTGTGGCCGCGGAACGAGTCAAGAACGAGCATGGACCTCTTTGCGAGCATCGCACCGGGCCTTTTCTCCCATACTGTCTTGATCCAGTCTATGAACAAGCCACTGTTCATCCACGCGTTCGTGTGTGTGCGCACCACCACACCGGCAGGCAAATGAAGCTTTGGTAGAGAGTTCCTTTTCAAGATGAGGTACGATCGCAGTTGCGTGCCGTCAGCGAAGGCACAAAGCAAGACTGTGATGCGCAGTTTCGTGTACCCGCCGGTCAGCACGCTCACCGAACTGCTGCCCGTCTTCTCAATCGTGTCCAACAGCATTTCAAAATAAACAGGAGTTTCATCCGCATTGCCGATTTGCGAGAAAATGTAATTGTGCTGCTTTCGCAAGCCAATTACATATCTCTGGTACTTGAGCAGCTTCTCCTTATAAGAAGCCGGCAAGCGTTGACATATTATAGTCCGCCGTCTGATTGAGAGCCCTTGCCGCTTCATAAAGCGGTGCAGCCATCCACGGCTCGCACGGAACTCGTGAGGTAGGCCTAGCTCCCTTGAAAGTCGCCGCGCTTCCACTTGGGCCATCTCTGTCGATATGGCGTGACCCCTGCTTCTCACATCTTCGATGAACTATACTAGCTCCGCCTCCAGCTCAGGGTAGGCACCGGTCTTGGGGCCACGAAATGACCTACGGTCGTGGTGCGTGGCTTGTAGGCTCTCTTTCTTTCTCCACAGTCGCACGCAGGACTCGTCCACATCGTGCCGTCGTCTTTCCGCTTCGCGATTTCCGAATTCCTCGGCGACGGCGATGATCTTAAGCTTTTGCTGTGCCGTGGAGGCCTGCCGCCGTACGCTACTCATGGTGAGAGAACAGATCGACTTAGGCTTGGCGAACGGGCCGAGATGTGGAGAACTAGCGGTATCAGCGAGGTAAAGTGCTCACACTCGGCGACAACTTGACAGCACTACCCCTTCTAGTACACTGTAAAACAGCACCCTGGAAACAACAGAACCGAAATGCATGCCTGCTACCGCGTCAAAAAGTAGTACATTATTTACTGATAATATCTATAGGCACTATAATATCTCATTTTCCTTGCTGAAATAAATACTGCTTTATTTATTATGGAACTTACTTTATTTATTATGGAACTTTCTTAGACAGCACCACCTTTTCGGCAAGCCCTTCCCAAAAGTAAACATGGCGTCCGTGACGTAGGGACATGTGGAGGGTCACTGAGCGGCCGCGAACGTACAAAAAATATACTTGTGGTGTGACAGTGAGATTTTACACTGAACAATCGAATTGTCTTTCCCCAAATGTTTTTCTAAACGCTTCAACTATGCAAGCAAGCGAAACCAAAATCGGCCGCAAGCTGCCGTGCTTCTTGCGGAGCAATACGAATTTGCGGATACCGCCTCCGTAGCCTTCGCTACACTGTTAAGGGGCTTCACAGCACAACAGCATTGCTGTGAAGCAGCACTACAGGAAAAACCTCGCGTATTATCCGCACCTCCACTTTGCCACTGAAATTTTCGGGTTTTTGGTGCGGGAAAATACGGTAGTCACTGTGCTTGCAACTTTGAACACACTCATGGCTTTGTTTATTGTAGTGCTCTTGGCTTTTGTTTCCGATGCAAGAATGCCTCTTCGTGAACCTCGCGAGCAGAGTTGGATTGGTGACTCTAAACGAATGGTGAAGTGAGTGTGCAGAACTTGTTCCAACTTCATCTTGCATCAAAGAAGCTGCAGGTCACACCAAGCAGAAGGAGCCACGCTTTGGCGAATCTATGTACTACCCCTCATTACCACACTGGCTGAAGTGCAATGCCCTGCACAGCTTTGATAGCACCAGATTTCTCTGGTGTCGTACTAGGAAACTATGGCAGGGGCCTCAAACACAGCCTGTGGCTGACACACGACTCTTAATCCCACATTAAAAAAAGTGCATGAGCTAGATAGGGATGACCAATTATTTATATGAGAAACCCCATGTGGTCGCCATTCATTGAAACAATCGGCAAACAAAAACTATTTCAAAATGGGAGTTCACATTTTAGTTTCTCTAGTTTTTCTGGTGATCAGTAGACATTTTGGAATCCTGGTGTCAAATCTCCTTTAGAAAGTACACATACGAGATATGGGATAAACCCTTTCAAACAGTAAAATTTGCTGACAATTTGTACAAGCAACCCCTCTTTTCGTGGTTCCCATACTGCTTCAATGTAATGGGGTTTGAGTGCAATGAGCTTTGAGCAGAGGTCTGCTAACTCACTCGAGCCGACTCGCTCATACTTGATCTGAGGGAGTAACATTTCGGTAAAGAGTCCGGGTGATTCTGGTTGAGGAAACATTTTTATCGAGTTACAGTTCACGTGAGCCCCCCTTGCTTTTTTTTACATCGACCTATAGATTTGAATACACAAATACCAGTGAAAACGTAACAGGCGACACACACCTGCGGGTCTCTTCGTCCTTGGTGTTGACCTCCTCCTGCATGCGCTGCACCTCGATTTGCTTCTCGCGAATGGCCTCCTCGAGGCGCGCCTTCTCCTCGGTCTCCATGAGCTTGTCGTTCTCCAGCTTGCGCATCATGTCCTCCAGCTCTCGCTGCTTCCGCTCGAATTCCTCCTTGGCTGCCTGCACCTGCCGCAGCTGCTCCTCAAGCCGCATGATGGTGTCCCGCGCCGTGGTCAGCTCCTGCTGCCGCTGCTCCATCTCTGCCTGCATCTGGCGCAGCCGCTCGGCGTACTCCTGCTGCTTCTTCTCGGCCATCTCGCGGGCCTCCGTCTCCTTACGGAGCTTCTCCCTGAAAACAAACACCACATGCTGTTGAGCCTTCTCTATTTACAGCAAACCCACTCTGCTACATTTCTCAAAGAAACACTAAAGAAAATTTGGGGCAACTACGCACTAGTGTGAAAACGGAGAAAATTGTATAACTGGTGGCGTTTCCCTCCTCTTTTTGATCTTCAAGGTCGCATCCTTTTCCCACCTCTTTGGTGTACCACACCACACAATACTACGCTATCTTTGCTTTACCCTCTCCCCTCCTCATCAATCTGACTTTCCTTTCCCACCCATTGCTAGACTATACTATACAAAACATGCGTTCTACGAAGAGTCAAATCTTGCTACTATTCGGCGTTGTTTCCCCTTCCGTTGATGCAAAAAACAAATGGCATTAGCACAGGCCTTGTTTCAATTTTTTAAGCATATTGTGCAGGTTAGTTTGGCCATGACAAATATGCTCCCTTTTTTTTAAAATATGCGATATATACACTATTCTAATTCGATTCAGAATCATTAAAACAATATTGCTTTTCACTTCAAACTAAAATTCACTATTCGCAAAAGCCTAGTAGTTTGTTTATATTGCCACTGCGTTCATGTCGGCATCGCGAGGGGCTCCTCATCTTGCTCAGTCACGTGGTGTGCACTTCAAAATTAATTTTTAAATATGTTCTAGGCTATATATGCCTTTCGTATGTCGTAGATGTGTATGTCTCCACCCAAGTATATCTCACCCATTATCTCGCCTACGAAATTTTATGTCAGTACTCCCTTAATTTGCCCATACATCACACAGTACACTGGCTTCTGCCAATTTCACCTTTATCGAACGAGACAGCCGCAGCCAGTATCGAACCCTTGTATGAATTAAGAGTTCGAGTGAGTGAGTGAGTGAGTTGGCGAGACTACTACACTGCTATTAAGAGCAAGGACAAAAAAGCATTCTTACCTTTCCTGCTTGCGGGCCAGCTTCTCCTCCTGGGCCTGCGCCTTCATCTGTTGCACCTCAATGGTGTCAGGCTTTCGGCGCCGCATGTAGAGCTCGTGGTTGCCCATGCACAATGCCAGAATGCGCTTGTTGATCCGCAGTCGGGGAGCGAAGAACACGAAGTCCTGAAACAAAGAAAAGTGAAAACACATTTGGCATAAGTACACCCGATGAGTGATGATAGTGTGTGCATACTGTAGTTTAAGAGACAATTAACAGGCTTAATTACTCATTGTCAAATGAGTAATTTGTCACATCATTGTCAAATGGGTTTCAAGGCAAAAAGTAGAAAGATGACAAACAGAGACACACACGTCCCTTTTTAATATCATCTTCATGCTTTTTACCTCAACGTATGCTAAACACGCCCAGTTAATCATCCTAATGTCGGATAAACATGTGATGTGTTGGTGCTAGCCAACTGTGCACATGCAAATTTTTATCCGTTCCTGTGAGTGCTTTGCCAGTGACAGAATCGTTCCGATGAAACCCAAAGGCTAGCCCAGAAGTACTATTCTCCCCACTGCAAAATAAGGGCGCACCATCAAGCGCACACCCCCTTACTCTCTACACGGGCCAAAGTACGGCAAGATGGCGCACTCACTGCGCCATCGTGCCAATAATGCTGAAAACGCATACATATACGATGCACGAGTTTAACGGCGGCGGTGAAATCCAGTCGAGAGAGTCCATATAATTGCTATCGCAATAAAAGTTTAGAAAATACAATGGCAAAGGCTATAAGCGTACAAAATTTCAGACTAAAACGTTGACTCTATGGGGAACTTGACGGTGCCACAGATGAGTCCGGGAAATCGGGAAAGTCCAGAATTTTGGGTGTCCGAGAAATTTGACATCGGCTGTATGTCATCACACAATTATTAATTTACGTTAAAAAGACTCACAGGCGCCTTCTTGTCAATGGGCTTGATGACAAACTTCCTGTCGTTGAAAGAGATGTTTCTGATCTCACTCCATGGAAAACCTATCTTGGGTGTCAGCCTGCAATTAAAGAAAACAAGACACGAAGTAGTATAAAAACGTGCAAGTTACAACAGCAATCTCATCTTTCAGTCCCACATGCACAATTTCTCATAGAATGCAACAAAAAACCTTAATTTCATGCGTAGCTGGTCTGCAATTACTCAAAACAACCATGCCATGTAGCAGCAACTCTGGTCACTAACGCTATTGGTTCTGATGTAAGCGTTGGGGCTAATATGCTAATGTAATACAAAGGCAAGACTAAACAAAAGTACGCCCTGTAGGCTTGGCCTTAGTGTAACTTCAGTCATGTTGGCTACTGTAGAATCTGCTGGCATACTAGGTCACAAAGTTGCGTGCAGTACACCAGACTTAGATGAAGCACCAGCTTTTTTATTTTGCTAAATTGCATATCAAGAAATTCAGATTATGAAAAATGCATGAAACATTGCATAGATTTTTGATCAAAGATCATGCCATAGACCTAGTGTACATAGGGTAGTATCTGTGCAGACATTTTAATTACATTGAAGAGAAACATGTTGGCAACCGATGCCATAATTGAACATAATGGAACAGGCAAGCCATATAGTTAGGTGCCAATCTATTTTTATGGGATAGAGTTTCCACTATAATGGAACAGGTCGGCCATATTACCATGTGCCCATTTTTATTTTTATGCAATAAGGTTTCACCTGCAAAAACGTAGCACCGCTCAGTGCAGGCCGAGCAGCAATGTTTCAAAAGCTTTGAAACTGTTGCTATTCTATTAACTATGCACAGGACACAAAGGGTCAAGTTTATTCGGGAGCTTATCAGAGGACAATAATGACACGGAAAAGTTGTATCGCTGATGTATAAGAGGCAACGTGTTCTGCCAACGATCAGATCACTCGACAACAGAAGGCTGTTCTCACTGCTATCAGTATGGCGTGTATTTTACATGCTTTGCACCATAACTATGTGACAACATGCAGAAAGCAAGTACACCACTCCGAAAAGTCCCAAGTTTTACAAAAAGAAGAAAGCTTACTTGTCATCCTTCTCGTAGATGTTAAGGCCAAGGGCATCGACACCAAGCCAGAGGTCTGTGCCCTTTTTGTTCTTGATTTCAAAGTAGTTGACGCCGTACATTTCAAGATCCTGGGCAATCTTCAGGTATTCCATCATAGCATCATCCCTGCAGGGAGGGCACACATGCTTCTTGTAAGAACGTTTACAGCCAAGACTTCACTGAACACATAGCATCGACGTAGACTGCAAGATTTAACGGTTGATTGATTTGTGGGGTTTAACGTCCCAAAACCACCATATGATTATGAGAGACGCCGTAGTGGAGGGCTCCGGAAATTTCGACCACCTGGGGTTCTTTAACGTGCACCCAAATCTGAGCACACGGGCCTACAACATTTCCGCCTCCATCGGAAATGCAGCCGCCGCAGCCGGGATTTGAACCCGCGACCTGCGGGTCAGCAGCCGAGTACCTTAGCCACTAGACCACCGCGGCGGGGCGCAAGATTTAACGGTGAAAGCTATAATATCGTAAAGACAGTATCTCGGTGGCACGGTTGTCCACTGTCATTGGTGTCCGTAACCACTATCACGCACACTAAGCAAAAGAAAACCTTGATCAAGTGGGACTTGAACCCTGGTCCACTGCTTGACACTAGTATTCTACCACGAACATGCAAGTGCTTATTTGAAACTTCACGAAATGACTATACATGCATGTCAAGCAAGGACCCGTTAACATACGTAATATAGCATGTTAGAAGATTAATAACACAGGGTGTCGCAATGTGAATTTTGTAAAGAGTGGGTGGTTAACTTCCAACCAATTGCACAAGGCTCTGCGCCATAATTCAACCTCTTCAGTCAGATCAACAAAGTGCCTTACATAGTCAGAACGGGTACCACACTTCACAGAACGATGAATATAGTGAACAGCAAATCTCAAGGGACTGCTAAAAAACATTTGTTATTTTGAAAAGTTGTAGTGAAAGTATTGAAAGTTTGCACAAAAATCGTGAAGGCATACATGTGAGTCACCTACCTATGCTGCTAATACATTTGTGATCACGTTATGCTCAAATAAGCACGAAAAAGAAACGCGAAATATTACAGAACCAGTGCACATTCATTTGAGAAAGATTGCGGTCTATCCTGATGTGGGCAGCTCGACTGCTGAAAGACGAACTTTCAAGCGTGCGCATTCTTCTTAAGCACTGCGAAGCATCAGCGTTTAATACCGATCCTTCACGTTGGTTCGTGCATGCTGTTCAAAGTAGTCTTCGCTTTGTCGCCGTTTTCTTATCACTATAAGTGGTATGGACCTTGTTAGTCGTCAGCTAAGCTCCCTTGCATGCTTCGTTGTGGCACTGAGTATCGTTCGAGCGTTAGTGAAGCATGCACGGGTAATTATGGGCAACTTAATCCCATAGGTCATCGATCGACTACACATTTTTCACTGTCCTAGCATTCGTAACAAGCCTGCTCCACCCACTTTTTGCTGCAACTCTGCTGAGTGTTCCGTGCAGGTGTGGCTTAGTTTTTCACACAAACACAAACACACACACACAAACTCACCTGTGAAGTTCTTTGTGCTCTGCCCACCAGTTGGTTATCCTCTCGTCCCACTGTTCCTTGGTCAGCTTGTGTTGATCCATGACCCTGAAAAGGAAATTAACATAAGGCATGAACATCGGCAGTCAGTTTTCAAAGTATGCTCAAAAAGAATGATTAAGTGGAAGTATAGGACAATTACTGCAGTGAGTAAGGCTACAACCAATTACAGCTTTACTCCAGTGACCAATTAGTGACCAATCAGTTTGCTATCACCGAAGTTTCATGCAAGAACTATCAGTACATAACACATGACAATGGCAATAACTATGTGTGTCTGACATATTCGAGAACTCAATGATCTGAATCGATCAACAGAACTTTCTGAAACTAACACCACCACTAAACTTCAGCGTATGTATTTGAATCAGCACAAAGAATTACATACCAATACCTGCCGACCCAAAAACATTAAATTCGGGAAAATCTTAGAGAAGCGGAAAGGGGCAGGAGGGGTGGAGGTCAAGAAGGAAATCTGGCGCACGTGTCATGTCATTTTCTCAGGGCCACAGCAAGATCACAAACGAATGACTGCCAGTAAAGACTGTAGACATCTGCAATCAAACTGGTATTTTCAATTAAAAGCAGCACTCAACATGACTTAACACAGGATCGCATGGCCTCGCAAGTTCATCAAAGACTGTGCATGGCTTCAACTTTTTATTTCCAGAACTAAATATTGTTTTCTTATTTATGATCATACTCAAGTGAAAACTGCATTTAGTAATGAAAATAAGGGCTGACGCAAGCCATGCACAATCTTTGTACTCATGAGGCCACGTGCTCCCGCGTTGCAAGCCATTGAGCGCGAGTGTACACAAGTGCGTGATCAAGGGACAAAATCTGTTTTGTCCAGTGAGAGTTTCCTTCCGAATATTCATTCGCTTTCCCCCATGACACCTTTGTACTGCAGCAAAAGTGATTGAAGCATTCTGCACGTAAATTGGGAAATTGAGCCGATTTCCTTCATTGTTACTTTTTTTTTCACAAGAGTGCTATGCACTGTTCTTCGGAAATTTATTACAGTGCCCGTACAATCAATGGGAATGCTCATAATTCAGGAATCTCCCAGGCAAATAGGGAGAGTTGGCAGGTGTTCATACCTGTGCTAAATTTAGCAAAATTTGATGTGCACATAGATGCGTTGGTTTCTTTTGCGCGCGTGTGCTGCCGATGTGCTGTGTTTATCTCTCTTCCCTCTCTGCTCTATCATCTCCCCCATCCCCCTCCCATGTGCAGGGTAGCAAACTGACTGCCTATAGGCTGGTTAACCTTCCTGCCGTTCTTTTCCTCCTATTTTTCTTCCTTCCTTGCCCCACTGCCTGTCTGCTGTTGCAAATGTTAGGCCATCACTTAAGGGGGGACGTGCCTTTCGAAACTAACTTTCTTGTTTCTGGTAGGCTATTGATGAAAATTGGCACAGACACTAAGAATGACCTCACAGTGCTTCAAAAAAAATTTCGAGGCAATACCACAGAACTTCATGAGAGACAAATTACTGCTCCATCAAACCTCGTGGAGGGGCTGAAGGAGACCGCATTTTCAAAATATTTTTTTGCAACGCTAAAACTTGCAGTTAACGTTTTCTCTAGCAACACTGCAATGAGCACACTTGCATTACAAAGCCCCGCGAAAAATTCTTTAGGGAGTAGAATGAAAGACTAAGATCGCAGCCCCCTGAAGCACAGTCCAAGGATACAAAATAAACTGAATCAAAATCTGAAATAGTTGCTAAGATATCTACTACACGAGCTGAGCATAATGCCAAGACAGTACTGAGAAAACTGCGTTTAAAGTTTCACTTTCCCTTCATGTCTATAAAACACCTAAAAATTGAGATCTTAGGTTTGTCTTGTAATCTTTGATTTCTCAATCATGTGGCCTCTGCCCAGTGTATCTTTGTTGCCTATATATTTTTTTCATAACCTTTTCTTTTTATTTACAAAAACAAGCATAGATTTCAGACCAAGTTCTCTGTATGAAGGAGTGGTGTGATAGGCATGATAGAATAGATTGTAATTGAATAAGGCCATATACTGTAATGATTACACATCTTGTGTTAGAGCTATTATTGGCACAATTATATACTTCTTAATTATAAATAACTGAACATTTTTCATACGAAGAGAGGTTTATTGCATCAAAATAAAAAAAATGGCCCACACTATGACAGCCTAGCCTTTGTGGAGTACTGACACCCCCTGTAAAGTTGTTCGCGCTGCGTGGTGCACGTGTCTCGCCCAAAAGCCGCATTTCGGGTTACAACCACCAGGCAATCGATGGTGTGTTCGCGTTGAACACCACTATCATCATCATGATGTAGCACCAGCAGTGACCCCTGGCGGAAGCAAACCTTGGTGGCGGGCGAGAGTTGAGAGAGTCTTCTGCGCGTGGCGGTTACCGCGAACGGTTGTCTCTGGCATGGGTCCTCGGCGCGTGGTACCGCAGCGCGTGGTCCTCATGGTAAGTCAAGCGTTGGCGTCGCCGCCTTGGGTGTGTTATTGTGTTTGTCATGGAGTGTATGGTCATATTGTGTGCAGATGTCTTAGCGGGTTAATTACAATTGATGTATTGATTCGACGGACGATATCGTCGTTCAAAAGTAGTTAAATAAATGTGTGTATGTTTGGTTTGTACCGACCGTGTCTGCTGTGTCCGTTCACTCCAAGAGCGTGGCGTGGCGCACGCTCGCCATTCAAGACCCCACACCTTTTTTCCAAGTAACGAACAGTTATAGGCAGAAAACTGGTGGCACAGAAATTTCTTTAGCAGTTTATTTGATGATGCGAGTTGGGCTTATAAAAATTCATGCCTCTGCTTCATGCATGCTATTTTGCCACTCTAGCCATGAAACATCATACGGCCAGTCGCGGAAACTCTAATCTACGAGGCTTTCATTGTCTTGAAGCATTCATAGACGCTCTCAGCGATACCAAGCGCGCACGAAACTACTAGCCGCTGTTCCGAGCAATCGTGGCAGAGAGGGGGGGGGGGGGGGGGTTGGCGAGCTTGACTGTGGGGTCCTCTGCTGATGCGGAAAATGGTCGTCCACGGTTCAGAGGAGCTAGTGACTGATATGCTTTATTGCTTACGAAGAAGCACATTACCATGAGTGCGTTAGCGCGTCATTCCTGCCTGCAAAGTTTGTCCCGCCGTCAGCAGAGTTACACCTAAAGCCAACTGATGACTTGCCGCACTTTTAGACTGTGTGCTCGCTCATAGTAATCTGATCGAGCATCCACTTACAGCACATAACTAAGCGTAATTATATCCTAAGTGATCGTCGAGCCGTGAACATGTCACGAAATAGCGTTTTGACAGCCATATCTTCGTGACGCACAAGCAGCAGACCAATGGCGAGGTGAGCTGGAGTAGCATGGTGGCCACAGCCAATCAAGAGCCTCAAAACTACCTTGAAACATTTGCTTTTTGTGCACTTGTTTTTAAAGGGAGGAGCCATCTGAAGCTAAAAATTTGAACACTGAGAAGTGCTCTTTCTGATGATCCCAATAAACCAACTCCTGGTCACGCCATCGCGAAGCTGTAACTTTTTTCGAAAATTGCTGTTTTCTGGCCATTTACCGAAGAATTTATGCTACCTAGAAAGGCGAAACGAATTTTCCGAAGCACTTCCGCACAGTTTTCAGTGTAGATATTGTGGAATCAGATAGAAAAAGGGTTCCAAAAACTGAAAACTTGATTTAAAAAAAAATTGATTTTTGAAATTTTTCGCGATACAAAAGCCACATCCCCCCTTAAGCGTAGCAGCCAGAGCACAGTACTGGGTATGAGGCTGAACAAGTAATAGTGCTGAAGTTATACTAAACAACACTACCAAAACAAAAAGGATGCCAGAAAAAAATTAAATAAATGTCTAAAAATAAGTTTTCTGAAGGAATGGTAACACGCACAATAGTGTCTGTGCCCTCTGAACATATCAATTAGGTACCCAAGCTCCATGACAGCATTTTGTTCATGCATATGTGATAAAGTAAATCAATAGTGCTGTACAATTCATAAGGTTCCCGTACATGATTTGCTGTACAACATATTTTTTTCATTCAATATTCAGGAAATATTTTTTTCGTTCACACTTGTTTTCGTTATTTGAATTCACCTCACTTGAAACTAATACAGTCGACATCCTATTTCTCGGATGCCCGAAATTCTGTGGCACCGTCAAGTTCCCTATAGAGTCAATGTATTGTAAAGTCCGAAATTCCGGACGTTTATAGCATTTGCCATCAGATTTTCCGGACTTTTTACCGCTCCGCAGACTCAAAGTCACTATTGACGACACCGTGTTGCTTTTTTTTTTTTACCCTCGAAACCACTTCATCGTGGCTGCCATACCCTTGAAACTGAAAATTATGCAATACGGTGCATGCCAATTCGTTGCCAGCCGTAGCTCAGGCTGCATGGTCTCTGGCATGGTGCTGTGCAGCCTGTGCTCAGCTACCAATGGTCTGCCATAGGCATGCTTGCAGACTCATGGAAAGCGGTTGCACAAGAAACCCTCTGGGATTGTTTTCGCCATGTGAGCTCCATACTAGACACCCAGACTGCCGTCTCGCCCAAAGTGTGCGACGAACTTCCCCCCATAGACTGCCTTCGACAATTTGCATGTTGCCAGTGTTTCGATTCCAGCCGGGATACCTCTTGAGGGCTTCGCCGATGCTGACAAAGACCTAGAGTTGTGTGCGAAATCGTCCAATCACGAAATCATTCGTCAAGTTACAGAGGATTCCGACAATTCCAGCAACAAGATCAAAGAGGCAGTGCCTTCACAGCCAATGACCTCGGAGTTCACACGAGCACTGACACTCACCGGTGTACAGAGACAGCATGACATAAACTGAAATTGAGCCAGACATCACTACGGGCAAGCGGAACGCCTGTGCAAACGAAAATAAGCGACTTCTTTTTGCGCGTAAATGTTAACAAATGCGGCAGCGCCGGCCACATAATTTTTTTTCTCTTTCTTTCGGTTCTTTTCAGAGCGACCTAAACTACGTATTTGCTAAATTGTAGGCTTGTGCAAATAGTGAATTTTAGGTTTGATGCGAATGGTAACTTTGGTCGAATAATTAGGAATCGAATTCGAATTGTATGTATAACATTAAAAACAAAGTGGGAATATTTATCAGCAACAGTATTTTTTTAATTGAAATAGGGGCTCTATGCAAATGCCTTTATTTTTTTCATTCACAGGAAGTCTAAACGACTGAGTACTGTAATTACTCTAACCTAACGCGCACATTTTTTACGGTTAAGCGAGTTCATAAATCGCATGCGCGTTAGAATCGAGTACAAACAAAAAAATTACGGTCAATCTATTGCCATCGGTAAATCCAAAATGGCCACCCCCTACGTGCGTCGGCCATTTCTGCCTATGTGTTTCCCATGTGCGGCACTTCGTACGTGTGCTGAGGAGTTCGTCATCTAGTAGTGCATTAGCATCGACGGAGTGGAAGGGCCGACTCCAAAAACTCGAGTGCACCACGATGCCGCTTTTAAAAGAAAAGTCATCGCGTGTGCAGAAACGGACGGAAATCAGGCTGCATCGCGGTCGTTCGGAGTTCCCAAAACGTGCGTGCGGGACCGGCGGAAACAAAAGCAGAAGATTGTCGACAGCAAAGCTTCACGCAAAGGCTTCAGTGGACCACAGCAGGGTCGGTTTCCGCAAATTAAAGAGCTGCTCGGCGAGTATGTGCTTGAGCAGCGAGCGGCACAGCGGCCCGTGACGACAGAACTGCTCCAAGTGCGGGCTATGCAATTAGTCTTAGAAAAAGGTCTAATGCGGAGCCAGTTTAAAGCGAGCAGGTGCTGGCTAACTAACTTTATGAAGAGGAAAGGCTGTTCAGGCTGGGAAAGGGGAACATGCATATGCGAAAAGTTTTGCGTTGGAGTACGATGAAAAGCTTCAGTTTTCAGAGGTTCGTCCTAAACTTGCGGCGCAACAACGGCTACCTGCTTGGGCGAATCGGGAATGCCGATCAGACGCCTCTTTACTTCGACATGCCTGGCACCACAACCGCCGAGAAGAAGGGGGCGAAGCAAGTTCGCGTGCTGACATCGGTCCACGGTAAAAGTACAGTGACGGCAATGCTCTGTTACACGTCAGACGGGCACAAGCTTCGCCCTTACCTCATATTTAAATGGAAGACGCTCCCGAAAGGAGTCGTTTTTTCGAGTGGTGTGATCGTGCGGGCCAGCGAGAAAAATGGGTGCGCGTTGCAATCGATGTCTTACGTTTTTTTTTCGCGGTGGAAATCGGGTGCGCGTTACAATCGAGGGCGCGGTAGAATCGAGTAAATACGGTAGTAGCGAGATTTCAGTTTTGGTAGAATGCAAGTGATAACCTGTAAAACGTGTAACACTTTAAAATTTATTATACTTAGAGCATATAAGCGATCATAACAAGCTTCTAAGTCTAATAAAATAATAGATATGAGGGTAACATGTCCATTTAAAGGGGCCCTGCAACGCTTGTTCAAGTAGCCATAGAATGTGATTCACTAAAGAGGCTCATTGCTTCAGGAATTCACTGCCTTAAAAATTTTTAGAGTACACCCTATACGAGAGGAGTTTCAAAGATTTGTCACACACTGCAATCGCATTCTCTCTCCTTTCGTCCTGACAAAAGAGCTGGAATCTAAGCAGGGAGGGATGGCACAGGGATAGAAAATAGGTCACATGTGCCACGTGACCTTAAGTACTTTCTATTTTTTTTAATGCGCGGCGCACGTATACGTGGAGAAGTGGCAGGTTCCCGCAGCAGCCCCAATAACGACAGAGCGTGCCATTCTCAAATCAGCCAATGGCTGTGACAAATGATTTTTGAGCTTGTAGTGTGGTTAGCTGAAAGAAGGAAGCAATTCTAGCTGACTTGAAAATTTACTGTGAATTGCAGGGCACGTGCTGCACTATGATATTTGGCTCTCGCGTTCTCGGTAGCCTCAACTAATGATCGGCAGCGCTTTCTGACTAAGCTCAGTAAGTGTTGCAGGGCTCCTTTAAATTTGAAGAGAAGCTTCGTAGCAAAGCGGATTCTCCTGCATACATGCTTTCACAGCTTAGCAAACCTACACTGCAGTGAAACTACCTTTACAGGCAGTTACATGCGGACTAATATACACCTATTTGTTCATAGCGAATATTTGAAATTCGAATCGAAACGATTTTGAATACTGTACTATTCGTTCGAATATTCACACAAGCCTAGTTAATTGCAATGACAACCCAGTACTCCTTCAGCGACCCTCTCCGTCAGCGAAAAATAATTATTAAAAAGCGAGTTCTCGCTTGCATTCATTTTCCTGTACTGCCCGATTTTCTGGACGTTTCCGTGGTCTCTTAAGGGGCCCTGGAAATCATACGTTGACTGTATTCGCATACTAAGAGCCACAACACGTATCCATTTCCCTCATGATTAATTGATTGATATGTGGGTTTAACGTCCCAAAACCACCATATGATTATGAGAGACGCCGTAGTGGAGGGCTCCGGAAATTTCGACCACCTGGGTTTCTTTATCGTGCACCCAAATCTGAGCACACGGGCCTACAACATTTCCGCCTCCGTCGGAAATGCAGCCGCCGCAGCCGGGAGTCGATGTCAGCAGCCGAGTACCTTAGCCACTAGACCACCACGGCGGGGCTCCCTCATGAATAGCTGCATCTCACATAGTTCACATTGCACTAAATGGTGCAGCCTAAGTGTACTGTGCAGTGCAAGCAAGGTGCAGCCAATGTGTCTTAGAACTGAAGGAGACTGGGGTGTTTGCTGGCATGCCAGACACTTCCAAGCAGCACAAAAGTGCTCTCTATTCTATGACAGTTTAAACACAGCCATAACATTTAAGGACTACCCACTCAGTCAGGCTACAGTTTATTTGCAACACCCCCACTCCCCTTCTTTTTAATGCATTAAAAGCATTTTCTTCAGCCACAGATCTATAGTAGCTCCCAGAGTAAATGTTACAAGTCCATGCACACATGAACATCGCCGATGTCACCACTTGCAGGAACTTAAAAGAACCTACCTATTGAAGTGGAAATACCGGCGATATTTTACCGCAGCACTGCTCAAGACATTGCAAGGAAAGTGATGGCACACACCTCTGAGGCAGCAACCTGTCGTTGGCTAGGCAGCCTGGCTTGTGGATGTCTGGGCAGTAGTTGCCGTATTTGGCCTGCACCGCATAAGAGGCCAGCAGGACAGACGTCTCTGGTGGACAGTAGATCTCGTCGGTCAGAATGACGCTCTTGACTTGCAGGTAGAAGAGACGCTGCAAAGTGAATGCCAAGAATGAAATAGCTACCGTTTCAACAAGGAGTAAGCACAGACGAACAACGCTAGTCCTACACGCCGTAGAGTTTACTATAAATACATTAGAGAGAACTCTGGTGTTGGTAACTATGGGAGCTGCAATGCGCAGTTTCAGCCAGCATAGGAATGATAGGTAGTACCGTATTCACTCGCGTAATGATCGCGAACGTGCTTCTTTTTCTCTGAAAATTGGGGCAAAGTTGAGGGTGCGTACATTACGCGGGGCAAATTTTATGGAAGCTTTTTCGAGGCGAGCAAAAAATGTGGCAATGCAAAAAAAAATGAGGTCGCTTAGCGTTGCCTTTCGCGATTTAAATACATGTGAACTGTATAGAAATGGCTTCTTTGGTGCACTTCACTCATCTTCGGTGGTTGAAGGCACTATCATCTGCAAGCTGTCCTTGCGCCACTCCATAAAAGCATCGAGACCTTTTTTTCCTCTCAATTGTTTATCTCGACTGGCGCCCAGAAGCGTGCGCTACGATGCACTTTGCCAACTTCGAGGCAACCTCCCACGACGACCGCGCCGCCGCAGACATTGCAGCAAGTAACCAACATTGCGGCAAGCAACCACTGATGTATTGAAACGAACCGTCAATAACAAGATTGATGATGAAATACAGCTGCCACCTCACTGTCCACATCAGAATTTACTGTAGGAAAGGTACTCTATATCTAGCGTTCCTTGAAGTATGCACGAATAATGAGCAATAAGATCAAATTGCAACCAAAAAGAGAATAGGGGGTGCTACATATGTTGCGGAAATCGTTACGATCTTTTCTGGCGACAAGCGATTTTTTTTGGTTTCCCAGAAATCTGCGACGCGATGAGGACAAACGGCCTTTCACGGTGGCCTTGGCGACTGCAAATCCTGTTGCTCGAAAAACGCATGCATTTGGGTGGGCCTTAAACTTTCGTATTTGAAGGAAGCAACTATAGGTTAGTATGGGCAGTTTCGTGACCTTCACTCGCTGTGTGCTTATTAGCTACGATGTCTGTACACCCATACCGTTCGTGAACCCTGCTGTTGAGCAGATAATTGAAGAAGACAAGGGACGTGCTGCGCAGATAGAAGAAAAATACGGAGCACGGTAGCGGGCGAAAGGGGGGGGGGGAGGATGGAGCGAGCTGAAGTGGCAGAAGGGGTTGGCATAATAAAAACTTAGATCCAACGAGGAGGAGGCACCAGGTTCCTGTTAGTGAGACTGCAGCAGATAAATGAAGGGGGTACATTAAGTGGGAGAAAAAAATTCCAAGTTTGAAGAATAAAGTTGGGGGTGCATTTATTATGCGAGTGCATTCAGCACACCAATAAATACGATACATAAATTTGTCGAATCCTTGTACCTGCAGCTCCGTTTGGCTTCGAGTGGCTTGGAGCCGCTCTGTCACAAAATGAAATTCATCAAATGTTCAGCAGTTGCACTTCACCACCTTATACTTTTAGGCTCAATTCAAATCGGGTCAGGATGTTCAGAACGGTTCGTTTTTCTTTTTATTCTGAACAACCAAAACAGCGATAAAGAAGAGAAGTGCATTTGAAACTCGCAAGCACGAGGTCCAGGCAAGACTAAGCAACTTTGTGTATGTGTACTACCCATCACTTCCACGATTGCCTAACAATCTCAGCGCCAGAGTCACCACTAGTTTAATTTAGAAAACCGGTGCTACACGTGTTCTAACGAGTTTTCCAAGAGAGTATCCTCACCTGAGTGATTTCCTGGATAAGTTCCTCTGCAACATCTTCTGGGTAGAATTTGGCACGGAATTTGAAGAGCAGCGGGTTTTCCTTCTTCACATCTTGACTGAGCACCTGCATGAAAGTTCAAAATGCTTTAGACATGAATTCAGGAGCCCTGGCCTTATGAAAATGAGCTTTTGTTTCCATCACACTGTGCAATGCTCCCTCCTAATGGTTTTCTTTCTCCATGCCGCGAATAGGACCTTCATCCATGTGCTTAGCAGCACAGCACTCATTTGCTACAGGCCACGATGATGGTCATGCATTCGTACCCAGGCAAAACTGAAATCTCAAGTGCCCTCCACAAAACTTCTGAATGCGCGTCTGAAATAGCGAATCCAGAAGCCCATGATCGAGAGAGCATCCATTACAGGAAACAGCGCTTACGAATGCATGTGTGACCGGCACAATCTTGAGGGCTGTGTTTCTGTACACTTGCCAGTGGAAGGTTTGTATCATACGACGCTGCCACTACACTTTGTAACTTATAAAAGCTTCACTTGGAACATTTCCAGCAGTCTGCAACTGCTTCCATTAGTGGCCAAAATTACCACTATGTCTATGCATATGCTATGGCTTGGCTAAGGGCTCAGAATGATCTGAAATTCATTAAAATGGCTGTGCACGAGCTTCGCTGCATTTTGCCATACTTGGGGTACAGATATCAATGATGGGGTAAAACCCACAACCATAGAAATAGGACAATTTTAGGAAATCAAAAAGCACCAAGCGGGAGGCATGCCAACATACTTCAACAGGCAAGCTTCGTCGGCATGACTACTGAAAATGTTCCATCACATCAACACTATCTCTAAAAGGCTACCGTAATTACTCGAATCTAACACGCACCTTTTTTCCGGTTAAGAGAGTTCATAAATCGCATGCGCGTTAGAATCGAGTACGAACAAAAAAATTACGGTCAATCTATTGCCATCGGTAAATCCAAAATGGCCACCCCCTACGTGCGTCGGCCATTTCTGCCTATGTGTTTCCCATGTGCGGCACTTCGTACGTGTGCTGAGGAGTTCGTCATCTAGTAGTGCATTAGCATCGACGGAGTGGAAGGGCCGACTCCAAAAACTCGAGTGCACCACGATGCCGCTTTTAAAAGAAAAGTCATCGCGTGTGCAGAAACGGGCGGAAATCGGGCCGCATCGCGGTCGTTCGGAGTTCCCGAAACGTGCGTGCGGGACCGGCGGGTGAAGCTTTGCGTGAAGCAAAGCTTCACGCAAAGGCTTCAGTGGACCACAGCAGGGTCGGTTTCCGCAAATTAAAGAGCTGCTCGGCGAGTATGTGCTTGAGCAGCGAGCGGCACAGCGGCCCGTGACGACAGAACTGCTCCAAGTGCGGGCTATGCAATTAGTCTTAGAAAAAGGTCTAATGCGGAGCCAGTTTAAAGCGAGCAGGTGCTGGCTAACTTTATGAAGAGGAAAGGCTTTTCCCTCCGAAGGGGAACATGCATATGCGAAAAGTTTTGCGGAGGAGTACGATGAAAAGCTTCACAGTTTTCAGAGGTTCGTCCTAAACTTGCGGCGCAACAACGGCTACCTGCTTGGGCAAATCGGGAATGCCGATCAGACGCCTCTTTACTTCGACATGCCTGGCACCACAACCGTCGAGAAGGGGGCGAAGCAAGTTCGCGTACTGACATCTGTCCACGGTAAAACTACAGTGACGGCAATGCTCTGTTACACGTCAGATGGGCACAAGCTTCGCCCGTACCTCATATTTAAATGGAAGATGCTCCCGAAAGGAGTCGTTTTTTCGAGTGGTGTGATCGTGCGGGCCAGCGGGAAAAATGGGTGCGCGTTGCAATCGATGTCTTACGTTTCTTTTTTTTTTTTTTTTTGCTGTGGAAATCGGGTGTGCGTTACAATCAAGGGCGCGGTAGAATCGAGTCAATCAAGGGCGCGGTAGAATCGAGTAAATACGGTACTCTTGGACATGGCAGCCAGAATTGAAACTGGTTACCTTTTTGTTCAGCTTGAGCCATGTGATGTAGCCTTTGTTGTCAGTGTACTGAAGGCCAAAAAACCAAATCTCTCGAAGGCCTATTGTCTTCACCACCTGCAAAAAAAAGAAATTGTGATGTATTGCGTGAATTAAATGACAAATCTTCAAATGTTGTTCAACAAAAGCATTGTGAAATTTGAAGATTTTAGCACAGTGCAAAGTCGAAAACTCTGCATGGCACCATGACACACTCGCTCTATACTCGGCGATAACTTCTTGACAGCACTGGAAGCTACAGAACTGAAGTACATGCCTGCTACCGTGCCAAAAAAATAGTACTTATGTTCACTGAAAATTTTCTCAATATACATTGCTTAAATAATCACTGCTTTACTTTTTATGAGAATTGAACAGTTGCGGGAAGTCGTGAGTAAAATACAGTAATAATTGTTCACTTTGCAAGCATGCCTTCCTTTTCTTTTCAGCACACCTGTTCCCCAAAATGAACATGGTGTTCGTGACAGTGGTTCAGTGTGCGCCCGTGAACGCCCTGTTTACTTTTACGAGCATATACTCGTAATATGACCCAAAAACAGACTGTACAATCTGAATGTTTCTCCTATCCACACTTTTCGTGTACATAATTTTAAATGGATTGCAAGCAAGCAAGACCGAAATCAGCTGCAAGCTGCCGTGCCACCTGCGGAGCAACACAAATCTGCAGAAGGCCTACCTTTGTAGCCTTCGCTCCTATGTCAAGATAAGTTGTCGCAGAGTGTAGCTCTCGAAGTGCGTTCAGCAGAATGTATAGGCAACAAAATGTACAACAAAACTAATCAGTCAGGATGGTACTGTACCATACCAGTGAGCTTATATGTTATCCAAATTGGCGTCTTTTGAAAAAATGGCTCTACTTTCAAAATTCATGCCCAGGTTGTGGCAACACCAATGCAGTGTGACAAATATAGGCATTTTCTGTGCTCATGTGTAACAGGAACACTGAAATGATCAGGTTGAGCATCTCTTATTTTTTTAATCTGATCTTTTTTTTTTTACTAGAACGAAGTCTCTTGGTCTTGGGTATCTGCAGCAGATATCAAATGCTTCAATAAGAGCTGAAAACTTATGAGATGGTGTAACCATACAAAATGCATTGTGCAACCAGTCTTGTATCTTTCCTGGCATGCCAAGCCTCTCTTCATCACAACATCCATATAACTGCAATTCCAAGATCATAACATGCCGACATAACTTGGCATTCCACGTTGACACCTCTGGGAACTGGATACCCATGACACCAGAATCGTGTATGCTCAACGGTGCCTGATCAAGCGAACAGCACAAACTCATACTTGACATGCACTCAAGCTTTTTGGTCTGGAACATTCTCATGTATCCGAATACGCACAATAATTCTTGAAAAGCAAAGAAAACTGTTTAATGAACCTTCCAATACACATCGATGTTTTTTTGCAATCACTGATGTGATGTTCCCATTAAAACCATTTCATACCATTGCATTGATTTTTTCGTTCTTGTTTACCAATCATGAGCAGATTCCGGAATCAGCTGTACAGTGTGGCATGAGACAACCAAGCTATCAATTCGTCTATTCCTAAATCACACTAAACAACTACTGCTATACAAAAATGAACCAAACAAAATTTCTTTACTGGGGCTGGGTTTGAACTTGGGCACACACTTTGTGGGCGAGTCCTAACCCCTAGGCTACACACCCACGCTTGCAAATTGTTATTATCAATACAAATGTGTTGTACCTTCAGTGCAAAACAAACACTTTCTATGAAGGCTACTTTGAATGCCAAGGTAATGAAATAAACTATTTCAGCAGTATAAGAGGTAAAGTCGACATTGAGCATCATGCCCATCAAGAAAAATCAAATTTCACAACAATTTGATGCCAAACGTGTTTCAGCGGTCACAAGACTCATCATGGGGCCGTTGAAGATGATGAGCACTAGAACAATTATGAAGTCGCACCTACACCACCTAAAGAGTGTTGCAGAAAAAGATGCAACATAAAATAAAACTACGCTTATGCATTCCTTACACAAATCTTAAAAAACCCTCCAATATTTTTTTTTTGTAGCATAAGCAGAAGCACAATACTTCACACAGCAAGTGCTGTACTATTCAGTGTGGCATCAGTTGAAACAAACATCTGTAGGTGCACACTGGGCAGCCTTCTATAGTTTGGAAAACATTCTACTGTGAGGAAAACTTCACTGAGCACGTAGCATTCCCACTGATAAAATTGAATAGATGTGGCCGTTCCTCTTTCCAGTCTTGATGTTTTGAAGTAAAATCCACTTGAGTTTTTCTTTTTCAATTCGGTGCTAGTTCAGAAGTAACCTGCCTAGTTCGGTCTCTGCCAACTAAGCTTGCAACAGAACTAGTCTCCACCAGCACAGTATACAAGGTCTACTAAGTCACTGAAAGGTAAAAATGTTCAAATGCTACATTTTCATTTATTTCTTCAGGAACTCTCAAAGAATTTGAAGATTTGGATGCCAGCAAGCATCACTACTAGGCAATGAGCTTATCGGCTATATCGCTATAAATTGCTGCAGAATTGCAGACACCAGCACGTATATAACAAGTACTTCATGGGTAAAAGAAAAAGGACCTTAAAACATCACTTCGCTAGCTCTGCTTCTATCATGCTCATGTTAGAAAATGCAAGCATAGTGTGTCAGATGGAAGTCGCCCTTTAATATTTCCAGGAAGCAAGTTTTGTCATGCCAGTCTTAAATTGCCAAAGCTTTACAAAACCTTTAGTCTCCGTTCAAATAGCAGAATGATGATGATAGTGCTTCTTGGCGCAAGGGCCACGTTATGACCAAAAAGCGCCAGTACATGCGACAAAAGATTTGGGCTATGGGTATGATGAGTGGCTGTAAAAGGGCGTAATTTAAAGGTGGGTAAACATAAAGGTGGGTAAACATATAGGGAACAAAATTATGAGAGTGACATGAAATGTGTAGAGTGAGAACTAGTGGTCAATGGTTCTGATGATAAAGCTATGAAGAGATTATAGAGCACGAATGTCTCTCCGGCGTCCTTGTCTCCAAGGGCCGCGAAACATGTGCTTTGTAATGTATGTACGGCAGCAACAACCTCTTGTGATAGGTTGTTCTACAGATTACCAGGGTAGATCACGTGGAAGGTTGCGAACATCTTTTAAAAATGCGAATAATGAATGATGTTTGAAAAGTGGATCTCTACCGATGAACATCGCTGGGTGAAGAGGCATTTGTTCTCGGTAGGATGTTGGAAAATTCTTTTTTTTGAATAGGATCTAATTCACTGCACTGTATCAAAATATGTAGGACACTCAGGGGTTCGCCACATTTCTCGCACATTGGTGGATCACCACCGGTCAGAAGGTGCGAGTGTGTACTATATGTGTGTCCGATACGTAACCGACAGAGTGCTACTTCTGTACGCCGCGTTTGTGATGTTGGTGGCCAGTCACCAAAGTAAGTCTTGATTAAATGTAATTTATTATGTACTTGTCCGACCCATGTACGCTGCCAGTAATCCCTTAGCTTTTTTCTCAAAAAGGGTTTCAAGTCCATTACGGGGACAGCTACAGATGACTGCGGAGTGTTCGCAAGGACTGATGTTGCGAGCTTATCCGCTAGTACGTTTCCCTCAATTTCACGGTGTCCTGGCACCCAGCATACCACATGCTGTTTTGATGCGCAAATGGCACAGAGGAGAGAGTATAGCGAAACAATGACAGGATTTTTGTACTTTCTGATGGTTTTTAAAGTTTTTACAATGCTTAATGAATCCATGTGCATGACTGCATTACTTATTTCTGATTCTTTGATGTGTTTTGCTGCCACCAGTATTGCATAAGCTTCAGCTGTAAAAATGCTTGTGTGGGGGTGGAGAATACCGACATCTGAAAAAGATGGGCTCGCTGCGTACGACACGCCCGCGCGAGTCTTTGATGCATCAGTGAAAAATTCGGGATAGGTATATTTGTGTGCCAATTTGCAGAAGTACATCTAAATGTGTAGGGGTGGGGCATGCTTTGTCACAATCATGAAATGTGTCACAATTTATAACCCGCCATTGCCATGGCGGGGCGCATGTAGGAGCCATTGCGCGGTGTTCGAGCAATGGGACGCCTGTGTCCACAGCTAATACTCTAACACGCAGCGAGAAGGGCTGTTTCAATGTGAACCGGTTTTGAAAAAGCTGGGAGCTGGATGTGTCGTTAACAGCAGGGTATGTAGGGTGGTCGGTCCTTGCGGTTATCTTCAAAAAATATGTAAAAGACGGGTACAATCTTTTTATATGTAGCCACCATTCATTCGAGTCTGCGTAAGGGCTTTCCACGGGGCTTGTACGAAAAGCTCCCGTAGGAAGGCGAATGCCTAGACGGTGGACAGAGTCCAGCATTTTCAATGCCGATGGTGTTGCGGACTGATACACTATCGCCCCATAGTCTAGACACGTGCGGACAAGGCTTTTGTAGAGGCTCATCAGACATTTTCTGTCGCTGCCCCAACTTGTGCGGGACAGCACCATTAGGATGTTCATTGTTTTCATGCATTTCTCCATAATGTACTTAATGTGTGGTATAAATGTGAGCTTCGTGTCTAGAATTATGGCTAAAAATTTTTGTTCTGTCTTGACAGCTACGCGCTCACCCTGCAACTCTATATGGGGATGGTAAAGGCCTCTATTCCTAGAGAACAGAACACAGGGGCTCTTTAGTGGATTCAGACAAACCGTTCTCATTTGCCCAATTACAGACCTTGTTAACAGAGCTGAACCTGTCACTCATATGCCGAGAGATTGCAGGATTAAAAACCTATCTGGAGATCATCAACGTATCCTGAATAAAAGATGTTACGCGGGATGCACGATCGCAGGGAGTTCATTTTGACAACAAAGAGAGTACAACTGAGGACACCGCCCTGGGGTACTCCCGTTTCTTGCACGAACGGTTGTGACAACGCATCACCCACTCGAACACGAAATGTACGATTGGACAGATAATTTTCTATTACACTTAGCATATTACCTCGTATACCTAAATGTGAGAGGTCTCTCAATATTCCAACACCACATTGTATCTTATGCCTTGTCCATGTCAAGGAAGAGATAAGAAAAACTGCTTACGAATGAAAGCTTCACGTATTCGTGCCTCTAAGCGGATGAGATGGTCCGTGGTGGACCAACCCTTTCGGAATACGCATTGATATTGGTCGAGGAGTTTGATTTCAGGAAATGTAATAATCGGCAGTTTATAATCTTTTCAAATAATTTGCAGAGGCAGCCAGTCAGAGCAATAGGTCTGTAACTCGATACGGAAGATAAATCCTTGCCCTGTTTAAGAATAGGTATTACTATGGCCACTTTCCACGCCGAGGGAATCTCGCCAGAAACCCATATGGAGTTATACAGACAGAGGAGAGTGCTTCTTGGGGTAAGTGTTTCAGCATCTGATATATAACACGGTCAGAGCCTGGTGCTGATTTGCTGCAGCAGTTAAGCGCTGCCTGCAACTCAGCCAAGTGGAATGGACTGTTGTATGGCTCATTTTTTCCACATTTACATTCAGGTTTTTGCCTTTCTACTCTCTTTGTATCGTTTGAATGTATCAGAATAATGCGATGAGCTGGACACGTGTTCAAAGTATGCTCCCAGGGAGTCTGCTTGATCCTCAAGGCTGTTACCCTCTGTGTCTACTAGAGGGAGCGAGTGTGTCTGTCGGCCTCTTATCCTATTCCCTCTGTTCCAGACTTTCATCTGTATAGGAATTAATGCCCGACAAAAACTTCTGCCAGCTTTCCCTCCTAGCCTGTCAGCGTGTCCTTTGCCCTTGAGACTACTTGTTTGAAATTGATCAGATTCTCTGCAGTTGATCGTCACGCAATAGACCCCACGCTTTATTCTGCTTTTTGCAAGCATTCCTGCAGTCGTTCCACCACAGGACACGACGTCTGCAGGGACCACAACTTGTCTGGGGGATCCATTTTGAAGCAGTGTCAATAATAGTTCAAATAGCACAAATGGTTCAATTTCACAAACTGTCTTGCTTTAATTGACCCCCCCCCCCTTTTTTTTAAAGTCAGTGTGACCACAAATTAAGCAAAACCTCATTTGAAAATAAGCAAACTAGTACACCTGGTGTGAACTAATTTTTTTAGTAAAATGTCCTGCCGGAACAGCATTTAAGAACAAAGGCGCAAGTTTATACGTAAATCAGAGCACAAGTTTACCGTTGGTTCAAACAATGTCACATGACCTCACCTGATCAAAGAGCTGCTTGCCCGTGGTGCTCGCCTGGATCGCGAACTCCAGTTCCGCGTCCATCGTGGTCACCCGCACATTTACCTGAAAATAATTTTTTTTAATTGCACTTTTGGTTTTTAAAATGGAAACGAGAAATCGTATTCCATTCATCCTCCAAAAACAGGTGCAGCTTTGCGGTACCAAAAACGTGCGGAAGCGCAGGTCAAGGATGCGCTCGGCTGTCACCGGTACAGCTGCGTCCCGTCGAGGAAGCAGCTGCTGGCCATGATGCTTGCGACCCAGGCAGTATATAGTTTAAAAAAATTAAACTGAGGTTCTCGGAGGGAAAAAAACCGACGTGATCACAAAGCATCGAGTCTGGGGTGGAGGGGCTGTGGAATAATTATGGACACCTAGGGTCTTTTAATGATATAAGTAAACTTATAAACCCCATTACTTTTCTAACATCTAGCCCATCCACTTGACTGAAAACCTTTTGTCGTCAGAATGATTAAAGTTGTCTGACGATACCATTGCCAAATTCTGAAAATTTAAATATGCTCTTGTTTCTGCTAATTACTCAGAGAGCTGGCTTAATGAGCAATCAACATTGTTAAGCTAATGTTATTTATTATGAGTTAATTTTTACAGCAAGAACTCAAATTAGAAAAAAATATGCTCAATAGCATCTCCACAGAAATTGAACGAGACAACATCTGCGAATATCGGCCTGTTAAGGGGTTCATGCATTTCGTCCCCCATCAAAACGCAGCCGCTGCAGCCTGGAGTTGAACCCTCAACCTCAACAGAACTACACCATAGCTGCAAAGCCACCATGGGGGGCCAGTACCCGAAACCAAAAACCCCTAGAAAGCATAGAAATGTGCATAAAATGCAGACATCATTGTAGGAAACATTTTACACTTGTGTTGAGCTAATACCTGGAAAGAAACCAAAGCCATTACTTAGCTATTAGGTTTAAGCATCGTTAACAGTTACAGTGACTGGAAAAGTATTTCGTTATGCTCAAAAGGCACAACACAGTAACATGCTACAAAAATCCATAAAAGTGGCGAGGATTGAAGTATGTGAAGCATGTGCTTGCCTGCACTGTTCATGTCTTGTTATAATCAAAGTTAAATGTCGTTAACTACTTCACTCCATTTCATTGGCTGCGCGATCTTGCCATACCAGACTCGCAGGATAAATAGAAAGATCCAAAGGCTGTTCACGCTGCATTCCACCACAAGCAAAAACGTTTACAGCAAGTACTGAGCATTGTATTCAATGCAGACAGCACTCGACTCTTGACAAGTACCGCTACTGATGCACTCGTCAAAGAAAACTATTCAAGGCCACTCCCACAAGTCATTCACACTCCATATAGTTATCTGCCGTCGGGAGGAAACAAATTCTGTGTAAGGTGATAAAATTCATCACGTCATCAAATGCAAAAAACGTAGCAGCATTCAAGAAATATGCATGAAGCACCAAAAACAGGTGCGGAGATCTGGCAGCCAAAGCGAATCTGTTGCCTTTCTAAAAGGACCTATACCTTACATAAAAAAAGCGATTTAGACATGTTACAGAGCAGAGTTTTGACTCACCGGTTTCGGCATTTTGCTTTAGTTGCCTGCTGTCCAGTGGCAGAAAAAAAAAAGAAGTAATTTCTGAAACGAGAGAGAAAAAGTTGCCCCACGTGAGTTCAAAATCGAGAAATCCCGCCTTCAAGCAAACGAAACGAATGCAGGCGCGTACGCACGCACACACACCTGCGCCTTGAATCGAGGTATATCACCAAGCAGCTAAGTTCAAGGGCCAATGACTCAGTGAACGCCACATTACTCATAAGCTCAGATAGACATGTAATAACGAGACAATGCGCTTATCGGCGATGATAAAGATTAGCAAGCGCAAAACAAGTGCGCCAAGTTTTTGCAGTGACTAATGGTTTCGCCTAAATCACATTTTGCGACGATTAAATAGGGGGCGGTGAGGGGTTTGCCATCTTTGCAGATCGTGGTAGTGGTTAGTAGAGGAGAAAGGCACCTAATTTCTGCAGCCCGCTCGGGAGCACGGCGCAGTGCCTATCGTGCACGAGGCATTGCCCAGCAAAGGAGGAAAACCCTCTCCTGTGCGGCGTCGCAACAGATGCAAGCCCTTCGGCGAAATATGCAAACAGCAGCACAAAAGACGCATCTTTCGATAGACTACAGGCAGCGCCGTAAAGCATGCCCGTCGTTCAAACAAGCCCTTTATATCCCGAACACCTCGAGTAGTTTGTTTCGCGTCTGTTTTTTTTTTTTTATTACTACCATTCTGGTTTACACCGGTTTAATCTCGAAAACACTCCGCGACTTTGCACACCCGCAGAGGGGAAAAAACTCGCCGGAATTGGAATATCCTGCCGACTGCGCTCTCCTTCCCTTTGCTTTGTATTTTATTAAAAGCTTCGATTCGGCACGACCTTGACCAAGCAAAGCCGCCTTTCGCAAACGAGGATAAAAGGTGCGAAACGTTCGATTCAAACCGAAGACTTGACACATTTCTGAGATGTCAAGCACAGTCCCGACGACGTGACCGCACCTGCAACGGGGTGCCACCGCTCAACAAGTTGCGCCGACCGGCACCATTACGTCATTCGCGCCCAAAAACCACCGCGGTTCGCTCGCCGCACCGTCTATGACCGTTGCCGACCGGCGCCCCAAACAAGCCCGCCGTTTGGGTCGCGACACGAAATACACTTGGGACACCTGGACGCAAACCCGGTCTCGTTTCACGCCTGGAGACCGAGACGAGACCTGCGCTACCAGTAACAAAAGCGCATGCCTTTCCTAGCGGCAACAGTAGCAGCCGCCGCTTCACTGTAACGAAATAAGGCCGAGTGCGGTGAAACTATTCGCGAGGCACACACGAATGCGCGAACAGAAATCTTGTCACTACGCCAAGCCGAGGACATGTCCAACGAAGTACAATAACAAGCAGCGAAGACAAAAAACTGAGGGGTTCGTCGTCGCTTAACGGCTGGTTAGAAGCAACCGGTTTTTTGTATACGCGCTGACGAGGCTATAGCGCGAGCCGGCGGGGGGAATGCCGCATCTCTCCACAATTTATGCGGAAATTACGCGCTGGCAGCCGCTCGTGTCGACGCGAAACTGGGGCCTACACATCTCGCAGAGGTTCGGGACACCAGAGGCAACCAAACCGGGCTGCGTTTTCGAGAAACAAACACCCGGAAACGGGCATCGCTCGCGAACACGTCATGTCGCCGTACAGAAAAAAACTTCGCCTCGAGCGGTTCCACAGCGGCGCGCGCCGGTGTTGGTACACTTCACTCGCGTACGAGTCCGCTAGACGCGTCGGCGTAACAGGTGAGCGGCCACACTTCGAGGCTCGAGCCGCGCTCTCGAGGCCCCGCTAGCGAAGAAACCAACCAAACAGTCACTTACCGACGAAGAAAAAAAAGAGCGTATTCCCACAGCCGCCGTGTATCACCCTCCGCAGCTCGCGGTGACAACTTCGTGCAAAATGGCCGTCCGCAGGGTGTGGCAAACGCGCATGCGTGTGGCAACTCCCACTTTCCGCTTTGGCGGACCGCCGCAACGCGGCGCGGCGGTTGCAGCGCGCGCGTCATTGCGCACGCGCGGCGCGCCGTTTATGAAACCGCGCCGGCGCGTCATGCGAGCAATGTTTGACTTCCCTCCCCGTTTTTCCGCTACGTGGACGAAAGGAAGGAATGCTGAACGTAACAAAGAATAAAACGCAACTTATCGCGACTTTCACACCACCTGAAATTGTGAGCGCCTGCGCGCGCATAGGTAACACGTGCGAAAGTAGTGTCATCCCACCATGGTGGTGATGCCAACGCGCTGAATGGAATGACGTAAGTCAGGTCGTAAGTAATGAGCGACAAAAGGCCGGTGTAGTAAGGCTATGAGCATAAAACCTGAAGAAGTCGGAGTTGTCTCGCTGCACTGCAAATCTAGTGGATTCCGTACGAAGTTCGACCCAAACCCACGATATGAATATTTACCACATACGTTTGTACTGAAGGGCTCCGGAATTTTCAACCGCCTGAAGTGGAAATTATTTTTTTTTTACGTTGACATCATCTTCAGTACAATACAGAGTTAAAACCACAAGTAACGTGACATGGACTTTTCATAGCTCTATGGTCCCATAGTTTCATTGTCTTTTTCTCTGCCGTGCCTTTTTTTATCCTATTCGCTCTTCTCCAGTGCAGGATAGCAAACCAACAAATTTGCTCGCTAACCTCCCTGGTTTTAACTTAATATTTTCTTCTATTTCTCTCTCTCTCTCTCTCTCTCTCTATTGGCTGTTAGTTTTTGTTAAGGTTGTGTCCTATATAAAGAATCGCGGCAAACTGCTCACACTTATAACAGCCTTTTTATTTCTTCCGAATCCCTGTCGGCCGTTCACTCTTTGTTTCACAGTTCATCCACATCTTTAAAAGGCACACGGAGTGCTCCGAAACTGCAGTCTGTCTGCGGAGCGTCTCAATCCATCACTGCGAGGTGAGTCAACGAAGTTGTTGCACACGGAAAAGCGGCGCGGCGCACTCAGTGTTCATTGTTTTGCGCTGGCGAAGTGTGAGCCGTGATTGGCAGGTGTTGCCCGTCGCGGTTCGCCGCTGCGTTCTTCGCGGCTTTCGCTTGCCGCACTTCCACGGCGGAGCGGTGGCGCCGCGCACTCATACGTCACGGTGACGTATGCATGCCACGCTCGGGCTCCGGAAGAACGCCGTCTGTTTCGATTTCGGGAGCGCTGCGATTGTACCAGATGCGCTGCGATTGTACCAAAGAAACGCATTCTGTTTATCTTGATTCAGATATGCAGAAGGATGGGGATGAGTGTTGCCATCGCTCGGTGGGCCGCGGAAGTGAAACAGTTTATTAGTTTCATGGATAGCAAAGAACACAGCGCTCTGTTGTGTCTCCTCGTTTTCCCCTGTCGTATTCGCGCTGTGTTTTGTTTACTATGTTTCGGAACCAACTCGCCCAAGCTCTAACCTTAGCTAGTTTCATAAGTCGGCGAAAATTGCGCAGCTATCTCAGACTCACTCGTGAAACATATATTGCGCTTAGAGATATCACTTGAACTCACTCCCTGAAATTTTACTGAGCCGGACTCGATTGGACTCGCACTCAGGTATTTTTTTTTTTTCAACCGCGGAATCACTTGGACTCAACGTCGCCAAAATATTACTCACCCAGACTCACGGCTCGATCTGAGTTTGAGTGAGTCGACCCAAGAGTCCGGTAGTCTGAAATTAACTTTTTCGACCACGGCGTCAGTGCACAGTAACTGTGATACCTGACATAATAGGTGCTCTTCTTGGCACTTTTTCGTATTGTACCTTGGAATACGAGTTTTGCGTGGCTACAAACGAGTAAGGATTTTTTTTTTCAATAATTTACAACATAAGATAGGTTCATCAAGAACTTCTCCGGAAGAGTTGGCGGGGCGGAGGGAAATCAAGGCAACCCCCTACGTAATTCATGCTTCTGATCAACGTAATTCATGCTTCTGATCAATACACATTGAAATGGTGCACGAATACATCTTTGGAATACGTGTGAGCATACGTTTGTATTAACGTGAATCTGCAGATAAGGCTGATAGTAAGGCTGAAGATGAGTAAATGGGACAACAGGTCTGTAAGAGTGGAACTGACTCAGACTCACTCAGAAAACATAACTTGATCTTTGGACTCACTCGTATACTTAATAGGCTCACCAAATTTTCTAGAGCCGGACTCACACTCACGAATAATTTCTTTAAGTGGACTCACTTGGACTCGCCAATATATTCCTCGTCCGGACTCCCTCCGACTCCCAATTACGGCCCGATCCGAGTCTGAGTGAGTCCGAGTGAATAGACTCATGTGTGAGTTCACCGACCTATGATTAGTTTAGACTTCTAAGTTCTGTTCTGAAAGCATTAGTTTCTTTAATTTAATTCCCATAAGGTTAACGAGAAGACTAGAGAATCGAGGTTAAAGGTTGGACTTTAAGATTTACCGCCGATATTTCCTATGGGTACGTCACGGATTCCAAAGTGTATATTTCGTATCTGGGTCGTATTGGCCCGACTGAATTTCCTGAAACTAGGAATATGTCAAGCCTCTGCCTCCCGATGGCAATGTTACCTTTTCTCTGTTTTTTTTTTTTACTGAATTAGGAACTGCGTAAGCATTAGTATACGCCGTTTAATTCTATGATATTTTACTACAAATATTTGTTGCTATTTTTTGTGTTGGTCTACACTGGAGCTACAGTTGCTCTAGCTTTTGGCTACACCACCTCGTTCGACCTGGCAACATTGACGTGGTGAGTGAGGCCGTGTTGGTGGTAATTGAGCATGGTGAGTCACGTGAGTGGCGCGTTGTTGGTGTTATCGAAGTCACTCGGCGGAAAGAATTCCTCAGATTGCGTTCAGCAGTGGTGTTCGAAGAAACCTTCTTGACGCCGAGGATTTTCCACTGAACGAAGAACGCAGCGACGACAAACGACCAGCTGCTAACTCACGAGCAGCGAGTTGCAGTTCACGTCCCCTCGTGTGTCAATGTTCTTTCACGCTCGTAAGTCACTTTGATACTGTACAATAAAAATACAATCAATCAACTAGCTCAAGTAAAAAGCACAGTATA